AGAGAGAGAGACACTGTGAGAGTTGTGTCCTCTATACAAACACAACACAATGACCCCAGAATGGTTCGAGCCCAATCCTCCCCATACGGAGTAACCGCATCAATCATAATGTCTCCCTTTAAGAATCCCAGTAGTAAAACAGCAATGCGTGAAAAGCCAGCCAAATTTGAACCACTAAGCCAGCGGGCCTCATTCTGTGAAAAATTTGCCAAATCGACACTTCAACAAACGTTTCGGCGAAGGTTTGCATCGATGTTGTAAATGTTAATTTTTTGTTCTCTAGAAAAGGAAAAAGAGACAGTTTTTTTTGGAAACTGCCATCACTTACATCTTTCCCAGCTCTATTTTTTGCATCTGCGAAATTTAGGCATTAACGTATTTTTACCCAAAGAATGCAAACGCTTCACAGATATTTGAACATGTCACAAAGCATAGACTTCAATCACCCGGCAGGGATGACTCTCAAATACAGCAGGGGTGGGGAGAGAGGAAGGGAGCGTTTTGTTTGCTTAGCTCATGGTACGTAGCAGATGAGGTGTTACGTGCTGTTTGAATAATTCTTAACTCATTATGTAGCAATGTTTCTCGGCCTTATCGAATTTTAATCCTAGTTACCGATCAACACATTCGGATCTGTTGAAATGAAATCGAAAGAATTTAGAAGTGCTTTGTACCAAAGATAAATCATTGAGAAATTTAGAACCAAGTTTGTGTGGAGAGAAACAGAAACAGGTGCCTTTATGTCAACGGTTAATTAATTCAATAACGTGGAAACATAGCATCTTGGTTGTTAACAGATATTTTATATTTTCTGTTGGATCTACGGGGCGTCGAAGACTCGTAAACTCTGGCACATTTTGTCATCTGCATTCTTGAACTTTTCGTAGAGATGTGTAATTGTGTCTTGAGATGTCTTGTTTATGTTACCGTGACGCCACTCCTTTAAAGTTGTACTTAAAAAAGCAATGAAATTTGAAACACAGCTACCACAAACTTAATCTCGGTTTCGCAGCAAATCTCAGTGCTATATCACAACGGGATTTAAACTTAAGATCATTCTGGACTACGTTTATTACCAGCGAAAGTTTTGTTTCGGCGACATGGCTTTTTTCCGGAGCAGTAACACGAAACATAAAAGCCACTGCAGTCTTGCTCCAAAAAAAATAAACTCACATTATGTTGCTTTCATATGATACCTTAAATATGATATTTTGAACCGAAACAAAAGAGGAAAATGTGTTGATGTTTTCGTTTATCCTGCTGTGATATTTGTTACGCTCGTCTACCCTAACCTCTGGAGCGACAAAAGGCTCTCACAAAGTTTGTAAAAGAAAGTTCTCGATCAAAGATACGAGAATTACATGATCAAAGATTCGAGTACACGGGCATCGCTAGAAACCATTTTGCGCCATAAGGAAAAACCACTAAGTGTATTTCCGCGTTCTTGTAAAAGAACATATCTTAACTGTACTGCACCGTATAAGTTATCATGTTATTAGAAACACAGATCTTATAGACTAAACATGTCAGTATACAATGTAACTGAATTATTAGTCAAGTTTGCGTCGGCACGTAGATCTTTTGAATAAAGTCAAAACAAATACAATGGCATAGATGAATGGAAGCAGTGAAAATTTAACCTTTTCCGAAGAATTTAAATGCAGCATTTTCTTACCCTACTGTGAAGAGAAACAAAGATCTTGGTGGTACAACTTTGGTTTAAAAAAAAGAAAAAAAAAATTCACGTTTGCGCCAGGAAATACCGTGCGGTGGCTTGAAGGAATAACAACATGAATATCTGAAAACTGAAGCACGGGTCACAAAATTCGAAAAGCGAAATAAATTTGCATATAGGTGGTTTTCGAGCGACCTGCCATGAACAAAGGCAATCGAAACTTTCATTCAACTCATTCTTGATCATATTTGTCAGCAATACAGAATTGAAAATCTTTATTACCTTTGATGACATACCTTCCAGTGAACAGATTTTCAAAACATTAAAGGTACGAAAATGAAACGGGCGAAAATCTATTGACATAAATTCGATTGGCAGTATCTGGAATACAGGGATTCTGGTATTAATTGGTATTTTACGAAATGAAGAATAATATTCAAACAGATGCGACACATTCAGCGCAAAGTGAGTTTAGATATTTGTAAATCGCAAACAGTTCTCCTGAATGCAGTGCACGATCGTGCATCCAATTCTTTCCCTCAAATTCGCTGAAACCAAATGATTTGTAAAAGAAAAAGCTTAATTGGCAAATTGTACACAAAAATACCTCTCTCCAGTATGTTAACACTTACCTTCTTGGAAAATGAAAAATAAAGTGATTGATATTAGCTGCTAAAAGCCAACAGATGTGATGTTTTTGAAAAGATGGTCACTGATTGAAAGGATTTATAACCGCAAAATACTAAACGCCGACTTCGTGGCTTCGGGGCATATTTATTGTTTTACGACAATTGCCGAATTGTAACGGAGATTTTAAAGGTCAGTGGTCATTCATTCCCGCTGTTCTGATATCAGCATTGACTCGAAGAGAAATACACTTTTTGCCAAGTAAACATTTCAATCATAGTTATATAACCACAAGGGCAAAGCATTTCCGTTCCTCTCTCCTGTCTGATATTTTTATTTGTAATATACGGGAATAATAAAAGAAAAAGGGTAATTTATGGCAACTACTTTATTTTATTTTAAGTTTTTTATTTGTTTCGTGAAAAAAAAACAACCTAAAAATGTATGGAAAATACAAATTTTAGATTGGTAAGTAAGAAAAACTCAAATGAGATAAAAACGGACAGAAGAAGGATTGTGAAGGATGGAGAAGATTGACGAGGATTTGTACCTAACAACAAAATATTAGTTTGGTCAGTAGAGAAATTTTAGACGAAGTGCTTTCCTGCTCTCGTACTCAGACCTCCCTAAATATGCATTAAAAAAATATCAGTTGGATCTGGGTACAAGATTACCATTTTATGCAAACACTTCCCATCAGAAGACTAAATTCGGCCGAGAATCTTTATCTCTCGATTCCTGAATGTATAATATCATGTGATAAAAAGCTGTCGCCACATCACGAGACCCACGACAACAAAATCACATGCACCGATGACGTCATTGCAGGATTTTTGCCTGTCGAAATTTTAATCGCGAGTAATGGGCTCCTGTCACTGTCCATGATTTAAATTCAGGATTGTTGTTCCATTGCACGCGCTAAAAAGTTCTTCTGTGGTTTGAGAGTTAAACGTGGTGCATACACACTTCATAACCTTGACCTTGAAGTGGAAGCAAAGAATATGCGACACTCTTTTCTTTACCACATGGAAAAAGGACGGCATAGCGTTGAAGGGAAGTTTGATATCAGTTTTCACAACAACATAAGAACACGAGACAACCCCCGCCCACCCCCGATTCGTCTGTTGTTTGTGCTAATGACACTTTTCCCTTAATTTATCCACGTGATTTAGTGACATTTATTTTTTTTTTCTACTTTAGCAATTAAAGTGAAATTTGAAAAAAAAAATTGCCATTTAAAGTTAGCCATCCAGTCTATGAAAAAAAACGTTCTCATGCCCTTTACAAGCTTGCCATTCTCCATACCCCAGTCCCCCCCCCTCCCACCCCAGATATTAGCCTCCTCGTTTCTCGACGTTTACAAGTCGACAAAGCGCCCGCCGCGCGAAGTCGCATAAAGAACCAAGGTTTAAAAATTATTGATTAGATTTCACGGCATCAAATCAAGAGAACGTCCATTAAAATAGAGGGTTTGATGCTGCAGCAATAAACACCTAAAGCATTCAGATAAATAGCAATATACTTGAAATAAATCCTTCCAATTTACATCATAATGTGTCCGTTCAAATGGTATGAATATCAGCCCAATAGCACTCTCAGGGCTATCTCATTACTCGAAAACTTTTAAAATTGATAGCTTTTTTTGTGGTTGAATTCTTACCTGCAGTTTAGTCGTCAACTGCGCTTAACTTCTTTGTTTCTTCGCAATCAGCTCTCTATGAGCCTGTGATACTGTTATGATGGGCAACTTAAAACCGGCTTATATTACTTTCCTGTTAAAATAAAACCTAGCCAATTAATTTGATAACACCCGGACACTGGCACATGTCTAGCAATATGTCTGAAAAGTACCCTTGAGTGTTATTCATGTTTCAATATTCTAAACACAAACAAAGCCGCCTGATTACAAAAGATAGCTACATTTTTGTCTATAAGTGTTATAGTTCTTGACACAAATAGTATAAGAACCCTTTCCTTTCATCTTTGCGAACGCAAAAAGGCCGTCACAACATGATACTGACCAGATCAGATATGATAAATCCTTGAAAAATTATTTCCCTGAAAGACATAACTTTGCCTGAAAGCCTGCTCTGTAATACTGATCTTATGCTTTTGCGATTCCACCTCGAAAATTTTAGAAGCAAAATTTCGAATGGTACATGTTTTCTATTGCACCATTTTCAACTCATAATTTTAGCCTAATTCCCAATGGTCGACTGTAACCAAGTTAACATTCTAACGGGTCCATTTTAGGACAATTAAATTACGGAAATGAAAGAGTAATTTTCAGTCCAGTAAAAAAAAATGTTATATAGAATTGTGACTAATCTTGGACAATTCTTCATTGAACTTTGAACTTAATCTTTTTTAATTCATACTGGCCGCTTTTCTTAGAATATAGACACACTGCGATGTGTTTTTCTGAGAAGCTCCAAGTTTCCACCGGTTATGTTTTGGGAGAAATATGTCAGACTGCTGGTCCCATCATTCATCGCGTCACAAAGCTGTGGTTCGTCTCCTCCACTGGAAATATTTTTCACCCCCCCTCCCCCACCCCTTAAGCTATTTATATGGGGAGGGGTTGCGTGTAATCCTAAGAATGGCCCTGAGAGAGACTTAGTACCAGGCCGATATTCTCGTTTACGATCGCTTCCAAGGGGAGGGGGAGAGTCATTATATTTGATTCAGGCTCTGCCAGACAGATTCTAATTTCCAGATTTGAGCTTAATCTGTAGGGTAGGGTTTTCTGATGTTGTCAAAAGAATGGGGGCTGCTAGCTAGTAAATCATTTCTGGCAGGCCTTGATATCGTCGTCGACAGTAATCCCATTGTTCAGCAGCTGAGAGAGAGGCGAAAGGCGAATGTCCGGTGCTTTCAAATAACCGGGAAAAAAACCTGGTTTTCCAGGTTGGAGGTTGAGCGTGGGGTGAATCCCTCATCCAAGTCGAGGTCGAGTACTTTAAAAATAAAATGAACCATGCCACAAGGAGAGGGAGAAGAATACAGAAGCACAGGAAAATCTGTCATTCAGTTGATGTTCTGCAGAAGTACAGTTCATTGACGCTACTGTTTCGAGAAGTCACGAAACGAATCATCTCTAGGAGCCCGTTGCTAATGGCTCCTGTCATTTCTTGTCCTAGAACTTCGCTACCGCGCTAAGTCAAAAGTTGCGAAGAGCTGGTGACTAATAACCACCATTGAACGGGCATCATCTCGATTGAAAGCTGTAACTGTAAGAGCTGCAATTTTCCAAGGAAATAAGCAAAAGTTTGCTGATCCAACCATAATGGAGGTATGAGTAGCCTCTAAAATTTTATATTCTATGTTAGCTCGGTAATTTATTTATTGTTTGAAGTTCATCGGCGAGTTTTCGAGACTGCTGGTTGTGCAATCATGCGACGCGACGCGAAACACATCTGGCAATAACGCTGATAAGAAGTCCTCGTAAATCTCCAGGCGTAACATTTCTGCATTTTATGTTTTGATATCTCAACGGTTAAATTCTAAAGAAGTATCTGCCATGTTTATTCTCAGCCGCAACCTCTTTTTTTGGGCTAAATTTTAAGTACAGTTAACTTTTAGACTTTGTACAAATTTTTAGTTGTTTTTTTTTTTCAAGTTGGCGACACCCAGTTGCAAAGGTTGTTAAATTTTTTGCTTCTTTGTGACATCAACTAAACTTGAGCAGATCTTAAGCTCGTGGAGCATTTAGTTTAGCCACGTGATCAGCTGTTATTAGTCACGAGATTCCAGAAATGTTCTTTTACAATCGCCATGAAGACATTGTTTTCAGTTGATAGAAACTGAAGTCACGTGAGTCATAAAAAGCTGATCATCATCATAACTTAATTTGGGCATGGGCATACATAGCAAGGGCTACTACAAGCAGGCATTTACTTCGAGGAGCTGTATTTTATTTTTATAAAAATACTAGGAGACATTTTCTGAAATAATATAAATGGTAGAGACATTCACCCAGAAATGGATAAGATGACACCAGAAAGAAGAAATCCTTACCCCTTCAAAACATTAAATTTATTGAAAAGAAATTACAGAACAATGAGCAAAAAAAATAACATGTTAGTAAACATGTAAATCTACCTTGACAGAGATCTGCTGGATATCTGTATTGTATTGCTGGGTTTTGAGCATTTATGATTAAGACATTGCAATAATACAACTGTACAATTAAAATTAGAGGTAATATATATAGTTATCTTAAGTCTCTTACTCAGATAATGTGGTACTAGAAATTTTGACACATCAACTTAACTTCTTCGTTTAACCTCTAAAGGTTGAAATTCTGGATATCAGAAGCCGAAGGGTCTTACACACCCTGAGTGAAGTGAGTCAGATATTTACATTAAAAAATATGATTTATACAAAGCATGATACTTTGCATTAAAACCATATACTGGCATTCAATAGAAATTGCTGTTATGTTTTCTAGCAGACAGTTCACAATATTGGTTTTTTTTCTTAGTTTTTATGAGACTCACAACAGTTTTATCTGTATCTGTAGAATAAAACTTACCCAATATGTAAGCTTACAGCACTTTACTTTTTGCATAATTCAATTTATGTACCAAGCTGCTATGGAAAGATTTAAGTAAAAACCAGGTACTGATTGCTTTGCCTATAATCTAGTTGACTCCTTCGTCAACAATTGCTGATATCAAGAATGCATATCACAAGAAATGTGAGTAGCTCTGAATTTTGTGTATGAACCCTAGGTGTTACTGGGGAAATTTAATAATGTTGAGAATGTTGATTTGAGTGTGTTGCGTTTTTTTGTTGCTGTTACTTTGGATTTACTTGTTTGTGTTTTAATATGTTAATGCAGTTTATTGCCAAACTAGAGCATTTAGGTAAACATTTTTTTTTATTTTATACTTAACACATCATCCACAGTTTCATATTTGTTTTTTGCTTCTAAGAACTTAAAAATATTGAAAAATTGAGTATCAAGGGATTGATTTATTTCTTAGTTCCCAAGTTTTATCCTGAGAGGCAATCATTCCGCCTTGAGCCAAGTGAGTAATTTTTTCATCTTTTGCCCTTTGAATTGCAAAAAGTTTGTGGTAACTCTACAATTTTGTTAATTTATTTTAATTGCATTTGATTGAAGAGGGAAAGTCATTAAAGGATGAAGAAACTTTGGGCTCCTTGGAGATTAACAATGGAGGCAAATTGTACTTCAAAGATCTAGGTATAAAACAGATTTTCAACCTGAGTCTTTCCTTCAGTTTTTATAATAACAGTATTGCAACTAATTTTATCCATTTTACAATTTATGAGTGAATCTTTTTCTCTCTTTGTAGGTCCACAAATTAGTTGGACAACGGTGAGTAACTTGGCCATTTATGAGCTTTCAATTTAACCCTTAAACTCCCTGAAGTGATTAATAATAAACTTCTCCCTAAAATATCCATACATACATTTAGCAAACATGTAATGAGACTATTCAGACCTATCACAGGTAAAAGTTGTCATCCTGATCTAAGACCCAATTCTTACAAGCAGCTTATATACAAGGAAATGTGTAGCAGCCAGAGGAGAGAATTTTTGTTGATTAATTTTTTTTTTAATTTTTTTTTTAAATTTGTGGTGTAGACTGGAAGTACACGTACTTTGCATCCATATCTGGTCAGAACATTGCATATCCAGGAAATGCCAGAGTGATATCGTTTAGCTGTGATTAAATTTTGAAAATATTCTCTAACTATTAAATGTGATTTGCAGGTATTTTTAGTGGAATATGCTGGTCCACTAATTGTCTACATGCTTCTCTATCTGCGACCTGCTATTGTTTATGGAGCTGGTGCAGCTAACAAGCCCTATGCCCCTGTTGTACAGTAAGTATTTTTGAATATTACTTTATTTTTCTGATTTCCTGTGTTTGGATTTGCTTCTTTATTACTTAATATTTAACTCCTGCCTCTCTCTATCTCTTCATTATTCTTTCAACTTCTACCTGATCTGTGTACTTGTTTATTTTTTTATTCATATTTCATGTCTCTGTTCATTCATTGATTTCTTCATTTAGACATTCATTACAAACCTTTAACCCCCAAGAGTGACTAACATCTAATTTCTCCTCACAATATCACCCCTGAATCACACATTAAGGTCATGAGAATAAAAGAAATGATCAGCAACAAAAAAGCTTTGATCAGTAAACAAATTCTCCTCGTTAGCACCTTAGGAAATGTATAAAAAACAGTATGGAGAGTATTCATACTGATCTTAGAGTGTATAGGGTTAAATTTTTTAAATTTCCATTCATTTATTCTGACATTTACTGGTGTTCATTCATTTTTCATTTATCCCTTCATTCTTTTTTTCATTCACTTTTTGCTGTTATTCTTTTACTCACTTTTTCTTTTTGTCTTTCATTTCTATCTTTTGTGTATTTGAAATTCTTTTGCTTTCACATAATCTTTTTGTGTCTCGTTCATTCATCCATTCATTCTTGTTTTGTTTATTTTTGTCTTTCAATCTTTCATTTTTCCTTTGATCTTTTTCTTGTCAAACTGAACAGTTGTTAAGACATCAAAATAATGTATTTTAATGCCAAAATTAACTTTTTGTTTTTAACTTTCACAGTATAGCAGCTGCTTGTTGGTCAGGACATTATGCAAAACGTTTGTTAGAGACACTTTTTATTCACCGGTTTTCCAAAGCAACCATGCCATTGTTCAACATTTTTAAGGTAAACACAAGCACTTTTCAACTATGTGTTGATAAACAGAACTTTAGGTGTCTTAAATTGGAGGCATAAGGTTTTTTACTGTGGTGCACATAACTGTACACAGATCAGTGGTTTTTTTTAGTTCAATTGTTGTAGCCCATTCTAGGGGTTAAACTTTTTATGGTGATTGTATTTTCTAATATGTTTTTAATATTTGTGTTTTTTCCCCATGGTGATTATGAAGAACTCTGGTTACTATTGGTAAGTCAGAGTAATATTATTCAAGAGTATGTTGCCACAACTGTGGTTTGTGTCAAGTGTTGTTAAGTTTGCATACCTCAAGAACGGTCATCCTCAGGGGTTAGGGGAGGGGAGGGAAGGAGGGTGGGGTAGGGTTGATTGACCTGCACATGTAAAATTAAGCATCTCAGGAGAGAAGTGGGAACCCCAAGGTGCTATAAACAAGTAACAAAAGAATTAAAAGCATGCTGGCATTATTAGTAGAATTGGACAAAACATAGTATTTTAGGGCTGTTAATGGCATCATCTTTGAATGCCCATAGCTATGAGGACCTGTAAACAATGCTTTTTTTGTGCAATCATTGAATTATACCAGTTGAATTTATGTATCTTTTCTTAGGGGATATGGTGCCTTGGTTGGTTATTTTGTGAATCATCCATTGTATACATCACCAAGTGAGTTAGATGATAATTGAAAATGCTCAAATTAATTTTATTAAATTTTTTTTGTGCACAGAGTAGCTTGTTAGGGCAGATGTCTTTTTTCAGCACTTTCATTTACACAGTAGCTCTTGTAAAAAGCTGAAAAGGCTACAGACAATAGATTGCCATACTTCAAACATTTCTTATTACGCTAGTCCTCCAACAGCCATACTGACTGTTAGTGCCAGATAAATCACAATATTTTTTTCATGAATGTCTGATTTGATACCAGACACAGTTGAACATCTGCAAACACTCCTCCTGTGAGGACAATTTTACAATAAGCAGAGGGGAATTGTTGATCCCACCACTTAAACTTACATGTCATTGTCTCACCTGGCTTTGAGATAGATAAAGTAGTTTTGTTACAAAAACTATAAGCTCTGCGACCTAAAAACCGCGTGATTGCAGGTGCCTGTTAATGTGCTAGGATGTAGCAAATTAAGCATGTGATTGCATTTCAGTGCCCATTATCACATCATGCAACAAATGAATTTTTTCATTTGCTTATTAGTGTTTGGGGATGCCCAGATTTATACTGGACTAGCTATGTTCCTGGTGAGTTCTGTTCTCTCTTTTAATTGCATTTGCTCTATAGTTTGTTGTTTTGATTAGAGGGTTGAGTAATTTATTTCACAAATTTCAAATTAAAAACCTTTCTGATCCCTTAACAGTCAGCAGGCCTGTCTAACTAATATTGCATTCTCTCAGATTCATCATGGTTGCATCTTTTTTTTCCCAATCATTTCTAGTTCAATGAGTATGGAAATTTTGTCATCCATTGTGCATTGAGGGATTTGAGGCCTGCAGGTAAGTTTGAAGTATGACATGCTGTGTTATTGCATTGCTGCAAAGATGTTCTCTGGATTCATAGGCAGTGTTGTTTTTTTAAGTACACTTAGTACAATCAATAACTGATTTGTATGGAGAAAGATATTGTTTCTTTCAATGAGCAAAAAAATACATGAACCCAGCTGAAAAGCTGTTTCATTACTAGTAGATCTAGAAAGTCTTGAGACTATCCTACATAATTTGGTGCAGAAAACACTTAGCCAGCATTTTTCTGAGTTTAACCATGATTTCCCTATACACCTTAACATCAGTATACATATTCTCTCTACTGTTAACTATAAAATTGCTTAGGTCCTGACAAGGAGAATTTGTGAAACGATCCAGAGCTTCTCTAGTTGGTAATCATTCCCTTTATTTTTGTGACGTTAAGGTGCAATTCAGGGATGATATTGTAAGGAGAAATTAGATCCTAGTCACGCTTTCCTGTCAAGAGGTTAAAGTTGTATTTAACTCTAATTGTTCTCATTTTTGAAGCTGCTGACTTGCAGGCCAGCTTTTTTAACCCTTTCACTCCTAAGATTACATGAGTGATTCTCCTTACTGTCTGCTATACAATTCTTATGATGTTAGTCTGGAGAATTTGGTATTGGATCAGCTAATAACCCTTAACTGATATTTTTCTCTGTTCTCATCACTTGTCTGCTTGATATTGTATGAATAATGCAGGGAGAAGTTATGTCTTGGTCACTCATAGAAGTAAAAGGGAAGATTTTACCTGTAAGACTTAGAGTTCTAAGTTTTGTTCCCCTGTTCCTATGCTACAGGCACTAGAGAGAGGAAAATTCCCTTCCCAACCTCCAACCCCTTCACCAAGCTGTTCAGATTCGTCTCCTGTCCAAACTATACTTACGAGGTGAGTAGTGTAATTTATGTTTGTAATTGTGATATGTAGACAGGCTGGCTCAGTTCAGCTCAGAGCTGGTTGAAATGGGGACCACTATAAACAATGACAAGGTCAGACCACAACACCGGGAGCTTTGTTTCCTTCTCTTTGCGAGAAGTGTGTGGGTTCTTTAACATCCCCTGAAAACTAACACAGAGCAAAGGCAGCATATTCCCCTCTCTTGTTTTAAGACTCTGAGTGTTAGTCCGGTCTGTGGTTTGAACCCTCAACCTTCAGCTAGGCAGTCCGGCGCTCTATAACGTGAGTGAACCAAGTGCTGAATGCTTTAAAGCTAATTTAACAGAATTTTTAAAATTAGTTTTGACTGCGACCACGCCACCCTCTTAATCCATAAGACTTGCACCGAAACCAATCTTGACATCTCTTGCTTGACCTTCACCACGTGTGTTTAATTTAAATCCCCTTTGGCTTCAATTATCTGTACTTATTTTAGGATCTACAGTGTTCGTCCGGTCTGGGGCATGAACCCTCAACTTCCAGCAGGGCAGTTCGGCGCTCTTCAATGTGAGCTAACCCAGAGTGCTGAATGCTCTGAAGCTAATTTAGCAGAATTGTTTAAATTGGTTTAGATTGCGACCGCGTTACCCTTTTAATCCGTAAGACTTACACTGAAACCAATCCTGACCTCTCTTTCTTGACCTTCACCACGGGTGCCTACTTTAAATTCCCTTTGGCTCCATGTGAGTTTTTCCTTTGTTCTGTTTGGTCGTTGTGGTTACCGTCTAAGGTCGGCAGAGGACTCCAAGCCTTTAATTTCTCGCAAAGGGTAGGGAACTTAACCTCTGATTTTGAGATCTGACCTTGTTTCCAAAATTGGGGGCATCTGCAAAGTTTCCTTTAAAAAATTAATTGGAAACTGCTTAATGCAGTTTGGCGAAAGTCCCCCGCAAAGTGTTGTAAAGCGCATTAGAGCGTTAGTGTGGATAGTGTGCTATATCTACATCACCTCAGGTTTGATTCCCAGACGCTTAATCTGTTGCTATGTCGTCAAATTCTTCTAGATAGCGAGGCTTTCGTTTTTACGGAGTCTCTTCTGATGTATCGAAAGAAGCCTACGTAGGAAAATATGTTTTTTGCGAAAATGGAGGTGGTGATCTTTTCCCCTTTCACCACGAAATATAACGCTACTGAATCAAACTACTGGTACTCAAAAGATGCTGTAACCTGCACTTTAGAACTCTTGCTTTTTTCCCGTCTACTTCAAAATTTTCGGTGAGCAGCAGTTCGCAATATGATTTTACCTCGATGATAACGCTATCAATAACGATCACGCAACAATAACGAAAAAAATAACGATAACAAATATGTTGTTTCTCACCCAGGTTGGTGCTTGGACGTCATTTGCTGTGATGACTCAGACCTTGTCAGGTAGGTGACCGACTTGTGTGGCACTGGCAGTGTCTTTTTCTCTATCCAGAAGACTTGAATGTTTCGATAATATGGTTTAGAATCAAGTTTCGAGCAAACATGTTTGCCAACGCGAACTGCGTGTGCACGCGCATCTCCTCTGATTCCATTTACTTCAAATTCACCATTAGCATTGTTTAACAAAGGGGTCACTGTGGTGTCGTGGTTTGCGCGCAAGACTCTGTATCAAGAGGTCTGGGCATGAGCCTTATTCTAGTCATGTTACTCTCATAATGCCTCTGTCTACCCAGGAGTGTACATTTGCACCGGTGAACTTTGAGACAAACTTAACGGAATTCGGATAATGGGGTGGGGAGTAACATACGATGGGTACACATCCCATCCTGGGTGAGTTGTAGCAGTTCTCTTAGTCGGGTAACATTTTGGAAATTGGTATGAGCTCTTGCCTAAGTGTAACTGTGTACCTCCCCATGGAGAAAACTTTTGAGAGGTCTGGGTTCGAGCACTAGCCGAGTGGAGACTCCTTTTTAACGCGTTTTTCTTCCGTTGCAGTTGTCCTTTTCCTCTTGGCCGGATTCTATCAGATGTCCGTCTGGGCTATTGGCAAACATCGAAACTATCGAAAAGAATTTAAAGATTATCCTAAAGGACGAAAGGCAATTTTACCTTTTCTGCTATAAACATCTGGAGGGAACTGTTCCCTCGAAAGAGATGAACAACCGTCATGTTGGGATTTATTTAGTGAGAAACCAAAGATAGAAGATTTCATTCCTGATAGTTACCACAAACTTAAGGAAATTTTCCTTATTACATCATTACCTTTTAAAGAAGGAATAAGAGAGAAGAGAAAATTTCTAACTTGGGGATATTATGTGATTTAACTATAAGTTCTCAGAACTGAAATTTTAAGAAACAGTAAGGGAGAGTTACTATTTAGTTCTAGGGGTGAAAAGGTTATGTGTAATTCGATGTAATGCGTCAAGACTTTGCCGATGAGAACTTGCAAACTTTGCAATTTTATTTGTTCGTGTGTGTTATATCTCTCTGAATAAGTAAGTGCTATAATTTTTTTCCCCTTAAACTACTGATTTTTCGGTGAAATTTTGGTGATACCCGAGTGATGAATATTAAATTATGTGACAAATGCCTGAGTCTGTTCTTTTTTTTATATATTTTCGTTTAATACTTAAAGCGCATTGCGCACGAGTACTCGGGATAATCTTCGACTAGTTGTCTTCCAACGGCCAATCAGAAAAAAGAAAAATATCACAAAGAGCCGATGAGAACTCAAAGCGACTCAAAAGCGGGAAAGTTGCGATTGGTGGGAGCTTGGTATCTGATTGGTGGAGAGTGTTACGCGTGCTTTCTAGACCAATCAAAGATCGTATCATAGGAAATCCCACTTAAACATGGATTACGAGTAACAGTTGCTTCAAGAAATACCTAATGGTATTGTCGCAAGCTTTTTTCTTGCGCCGACCTCTCGAGTTTAATCTTGCTTTTCCCGGACGGCAACTTGTAATAGAACTACCACAATAGATCAAGAAAAACTAAATTTAAAAGGGATTAAGATCTTTGCCAGAGGAATATTTAAACTAATAATTATTGGATTTATCCGAGCGAACGTTTCGATGAGAAAAACAGTTGCGAAGTAAAACTGTTTGTTAATAAAGCAACTCAAATAAAAGGGATAAAGGGGGTAGGAATTTAATCCTTATGTCCCGTAGCTTCAGCAGGCATATTCTCCACACTGTTCTTTATACATTTCCTACGGTGCTGACGATGAGAATTTGTTTGCAAATCAAAAGGTTCCTGCCCTGGTGACCATTTTTAATTATTTGATTTGCTCTCCTGAACTCATCACTGGCTCTACGCTCAGATCTAAAAGGGCTTTAACTGCTGCGTGTTCCTCTGTCGATTTACCAGTTTGACGATCAAGTGTCAGAAGGGTTTTTGCCATTGATCGTTCAAGGCAAACTTTCATGCACCTCTCTTTGTCTGCTTCTCGTTCGCAAGATGCCTTCCGTTTACGAGTCGCGACACCTAGGCATGGTGATATGAGAGAATGACTGAATTAACTTACCCTTTCTTTACTAGCTACAGCAGATATGGGATCAGGATCCTCTTCTGTTGGACCATTTCCACCGACGAAATGTAGACTACAAACGTCGCTGTCCTTCGTGCACACAAACGAGTCACCTCGATGACATAACCTTATCCACCTTTGCCTTCTCTCCTTTTGTCTAACTGCCCCCGGAAAATGGAAAAACTTGACTGGGTCGCCGTTAGCGTTTCTTACCCAGGAGTTGAAGTATCGTGAATCATTTTTCAGGTGCCATAAGCTCATCTCTTTGTCATAACCATTATGTTTAGGTATACACTTACTAAACAACTGCAATCGTACACTTTCAGAGAGTTGAAGTCAGTTTTATTTTTGGGAATCAAGGCCTCCTCAAGTTCTACAGCGATTCGTGGGCACTAATTTCCTGTCGGACGGGGATTTATCTGACAATCTACGCACTAAACACCCTGAAAATACCTGATCAGATACATCACTGTACGCAGAACTAGTTCGATTATTCCATGCCGCAACACTTCCTGTAACATTCTTCGCATCTGCTTCAACGGCAACGAAATGACAACTTGCTTAAAAACGATCAAATAAATGACAAAAGAGCGATGTCAATTTTGAGCGAAGAGACGCTTCTTGAAAGTGGGAAGTTATTTAAGAAAAATTTCCAAAGCCGAAGTTCGGACACATGAGCTGCGAGCTCGACTCAATGTCCAAACTTTCGAGGTTTGTTTACATAAAAATTCACGTGATACTACACGTGACCTCTAAAGCCCAAAAAGTGAATTATATTTGATTGGACAAATTTATTAGCTATGTAATAAGAGTGGTGTGACAAAACCAACTACGAGCAGAACTAAGTGGATCGGTCGATCATAACTTTTGCTCGCTCTTGTCGTCAAAATGGCTTCTTCTAACGCAAAGGAAATCAAGACGATGAAATTATGTAAGTTTAGTTCGATTCTTGGTAAAAATTTCCGCACAGCCCCATACTATTGTAAAAAAACTGTTTTCCCAATGGCAATGTATTGGTTTGGTCATTTTTTTTTTCTATCGGGTCATTTTTTTTTCTATCCAAGAACTGAATGCATAATGTAGTATGGGGTTGAGGGGAAATTTTACCCGATTCTTTGCTAATACCAAGATGTGATCGAAAATTGCGGTCTAAATTTAAATTATGATATCGATCGTACGAACGATCGATCGATCGATCGATCGATCATGTGATTGAGCTCAAAACAATTTCAGAGCCTATGAGGTTACACCTCTGATCAGAAAATCATAGGCTCCTTCTTTGAATGCCGAGGTATAGGATTATGGCATAGGATTAAAGCATAGCAGTACATCAAGATCATTCATTGTGTAAACTGAGCATTACAAGAGATGTATTTTAAACTTTTCTTAGAGTCGTTTTATCTCTCTTTTTGAAATTTCATAGATAGCCATATCGACAGGGTCAATAAGGAATTGCAAGAGGTCAGTTTTTCTTGAACTGTTGTGAAGTTTCCAGAGCAGGCCTTGCCTATTAACAGAACATTGATCATGGTGGAATAGTGACGTTCGTAATTCATAATATGACAATCAAGCTAAGTGTGTTAATGCATGGTCAATTAGGTGTACACTGATCATTCTGTAGTGCAACCAAATTCCTCAAAGTTTGATATACCCAGGGGGAGGGAGAGTTGGGTGGGTTACAAGTAATCTAATCGAAAATTTTTTCCACCAGGGGTTAGGTTGTTGTAAAATAATTAATTATCACTTATTCTTAAAAGAGAAGATAATCACATGCATCTTAGGACTTTGCTTTGGTTTAACCTCTTTAACCCTTTTAAATCTCTCCCAACAATATATCACTCCTGAATCAAATTTTAACCCTTTAACTCCCAGATCACATTTGTAATTCTCCTTGCTGTCAACCATACAATTTTTATGATGTTGGTTCAGAGAATTTAGTATTGGATCAACTGATTATCCCCAAATTGATATTTTTCTTTATTCTCATCACTTATCTGGTTGATATTGTATTGATATTGTAAGGAGAAATTCTATCTTTGTCACACATGGGAGTTAAAGGGTTAAGGTCATGAGAACAAAGGAAATGATAACTTTCAGAAAAAGCTATTGATTGTCTGATAAATCCTCCTTGTTAACAACATAGCAAATGTGTAGACAGCAGTATAAGGAATATGCATGCTGATGTAAGGTTGTAAAGGTATAATGCCCTTGTATAAGTTTAAACACCTTTCTGGCGATGAATGATGCTATAAAAATTCTGTCACATGTAGATTCTGTGCTGAGTTGCCCAGATTCAAGGGAGTCCTCTAAATCCTAGAGATGAGTGGTATCTTTGTGTACCTTTATAGCTTCTTGCTATCCCAGAATTTTATCTTTTACAAACATTTAGTTCAAGACAACTAACAAGCTTATCAGGTTGAGGGTATTATCTTAATTTTAAACCAAATTCTCCTGTCTAGTTCACATGTAAATTTATGGAAGTTAGAAGGGAGAATTACTCATCAGATCTTGGGAGTTAATGTGTTATTGTGTTGTGTTTTTTGAAGCTTGGTTACAAACATGGAGATCCTTTGAAAGTGGAGGATGTCAATAAGTTTGATCAGATGCACTATTATGGAAGCAAAGCAGTCAACGAGGCAATAGATATGCTAGGAGTAAGGTAACACAAAATTTAGACCATTTCTGGCTCTCCAACAATTGTATGCAAACAAGATCCTAAAGACCTTTTCAACCCTCATGTTTCAACTATGAATTGGAGCCCATATGATTTATTTTTTCTCAGTTTCCAAATATTCTTAAATGAACAAAGTGTTTTAGAATATAATCCACTAAGATACAGAGAAGAGATATTTTATTTAGTAAATAGAATATCTCTTCTCTTACATGGATTTTTTTTGGGATATCCAATGGGAAGCAGCTTGGTAAGATCATATTTGGTCTTACTCTTGCACCAATTTTTTTATTTCATTATCATGTCCAAAATCTAATGATAACAAAGTTCTGATATAACACACACTGTCTTTGGTTGAAAGAGCATGCTCTATCAGAGTATCATCAAGCATGCTGACAACACTGTTGTTTGCTTTGGAAGTAAAGTTTGTTTTGAAAATTGAAAATAATGCATGAGAAATTTAATAAGATTCTTTATTATAAAACAAGTAGAGAATCCTTGACTGTGCTCTGTTCTGTTATGAAGCACTTAGGAAGCAGCCTCCAGGTCTGTGTAGCTTCAATAAGTAAATGCTCCAGTTCTTTGGTTTTTATTTTAGATTATTCCTTAAAGAGGGAGGGGTGGGCAGGTCTGATGCTATTTTATCTTTATCCCCCATTCCTCATTTTTCACTCACTTCTCACAACCCCCCCCCCAACCTAACCCCACCCCCACCCCTCTAGAACTACATTCCAGCCATGTTAGCCTCTACAGTGAACGTTCTGTGCAGAATTATCTACCTATTTTTTTTACTTAGCTCATCTCACAAGATCCTTGATGTAGGCTCAGGTCTAGGGGGTCCTGCACGGCATTTGGCTCACACCACAAATTGCTCTGTCACTTGTCTTGAGCTTCAAGAGGATCTTCACTCAGAGGGGCAAGATTTGACAAGGAGATGTAACTTACAGGAGAAAGTAACTCACACATCAGGAGATTTTCTCAAAATTGACTTAGGTCAGTGAATGATATACCCTTTACACCCTTACATCAGTATGCACATTCTCCATTCTGTTCTCTATACATATCATGAGGTGTTGATGAGGAGAATTTGTATAGCAATCAAGAGCTTCTTCTGTTGGTGATCATTTTCTTAATTCTTGTGATCTTAATGTTTAACCCTTTCACTCCCAGATCAAATTTGTCATTCTCCTTACTGTCAGTCATATAATTCTCATAATGTTAGTTCAGAGAATTTAGTATTAGATCAACTTATCCCCAAATTGATATTTTTCTTTATTCTCATCGCTTATCTGGTTGATATTGTATTGATATTGTGAGGAGAAATTTTCTCTTGGTCACTTATGGGAGTTAAAGGGTTAAATGTCTTTCACAGTAAATGATTGCTATTGATAGCAAATAAATATTAAACAGTATGAACTTTCCTCAACCACTGACTTTGAAAGGCTGGTTTTCTTTCTTAGAATAGACTTCTTTAAAAATATGTTTATATCTAGCAGCAGCTCATAAGAACTAACACATGATATTTACACATTAAATGAACTGAACAGAACAAGCTAACCCCACCAGCAGATTGAAAATGTCCAGTCACGACTTACTTATGCTACCTGAGGGTGTGAAATAGTCTGAACAGTATGATAAACATTTTGATATAATTCATCTGTATTTATTCACTTGTCGTTATTCAGAAGTTTATTTCCGGTCAGTGGTCTTTATTACTTTGCTCACGTCACTAACACGTGTGGAAAATCACCAGGGAAATCACCTTTTCATAATTTTGCTCGCAATGACTGCCTATGTATTTTGGAATAGTTTTTAAATATAGCTGAATTTCTTGAACAACTTGTATTGCTTCATCACAGAGGATTATGACCAATAACATCATGGTAAAACTGACCAATAAGTTTTTCAAGCCAGACATGTAACACCCAAGTGACAAAAGGCTCCTCACTTATCTTTGATGTTAACTTTTGCTCTGGTTGTCACAACAACGGTTGCAGTACTCTTTCTGACAAGAGTCCTTATCAGGACTACTTTCACCTCCGCAGTAAGACTACAGGATTTACTAACGCTCAAAAGAACGTCAATGGTGTTAATCTTTTGTACAATGGCACGTAATACGTATAGGCTAAAAAACGTTAACCAAAAAGCAAAATGGAGAGGGCTGTTAAATAATAAGTTTTTGTCATGAAAAATGTTTAGTTCAAAGAACAAGTTGTGGCCAAATGCTTCAAAAATGCGCTTCAAATATGTAGCACAGTTTAGCTATCATTTGATAGCTGGGCCAGTGATTCACCACAATTTGTGAAAATATTTTGATGAACGTTCTCCCCTTCTTTCAGGTGATGGCAGTTATGATTTTATAGTGTCTTGGCTGGTTTTTCTCCACATTCCAGATAAGAAGAGTATATTTGAACGCTGTTTTCATAATTTGAAACCAGGAGGAAAAATGTAAGATCCTCGATGATAAGTTGTATTGTGTAAATCTTTCCACTTCTACCTCACCTGCCTACCCTCTCTTCGCTTGGTCCACCTTCCCTTGGTCCACCTTCCCTTGGTCCACGTTCCCTTGGTCCACCTTCCCTTGGTCCACCTTCCCTTGGTCCACCTTCCCTTGGTCCACCTTCCCTTGCCTAATACTTCATAACTGGATATTAGTCATTATAGCTGTGCTTATAACGCTCAATAAAGATATTACCTCGCTCTTTGTGGAGTCTCTGTGGCTCAGTGGTAGAGCATCGGAGCGCGGAATCCGAAGGTCTGAGGTTCGATTCCTCATGGGGACTGAGAAGTTTTTCTTTTTTTCTTTGTCCCACGCTCGTGACAAAACGGAAAAAATATTTCTTTATGTTCTTTTCTAGTTTTATTGAAGATTTCTATCAGAAGTCAGGTGTAGATTTAACCGAAGACGACCTGAGAGTTTATGAACAAGACTTGTACATGAGCAATCTCGCTGAAAAAGATGCTTATATAAGCCAGGTGAAGGCAGCAGGGTTCACCGATGTCCAGGTAGGTCTATTTCCAAATTCGTCTATAGTTGGGCAAAATCGACTACCTTACCTCCCCAAACTCGGCTTCACCCACCGCCCTTTATATCGTGAAGAGAAGATGATACAAACTTACTAAACATTGTAGAGGTGTTGAGTGCTTTAAGGTATGAGTCCATGGTATCGCACTTCGCATCCTTGTCAGCGGTGCATAATAGCATGCGCAGATGACTTAAACTAACGCGCGCACATCATAGGCCTCCATTGACGAGCTCAAACCAAGAGAATATATACTTGATATTTTCTTGCTCAAACCACGTGCAATTTCATGATCCGTAGTTTTTTCTTCTTTTCTGGGTGGGAACGTCGAGGAAAGTCGACAAAGATCGGAAATAAATGGAAAAGAGGTCTTAATTCTCTGCAAAATCCCGCTTTCTTGCTATTAGTGATAGCACCGCGAATTTTTGTTCTTCTTAAGCAAATTCTTACGAACTCTTGCTTCAACTCATAATGATTAACTTGAGAAAACTACGCGTTTCTGATTGGCTGACAACGAGTGCAAATAACCAAAAAAATGTTAAAATTTGTCTTTCTTGCCTTGCTGCGATGTTTTTACACGTAAATTAGTAACAAGTAATAGCATGATTTCTCCTGCAATTTGGTGTAATAAGCACTTGTAAAATCTTTCAAAGACTACAAATTGCATTCACCCTACGAGCTGGTGCAATTTTGTTGTCTTTGAATTGGTGCTTAATAACACCAAATTGTAATCGAAAGCATGTTACTACCTTCTCCTATTATATCTCTATGATTGGTCAATTTAGCGGGCTGTGTTTCATTGTACGGCCCGCTAAATTCAAAACTTACTTTAAACTGAAAGCTTCCCTTTCTTCTTGAACCCAGAGATATGATAACTATCTTAATAACCCCGTTTCCTCGATTTGTACGGTAAGTGACGGAAAAGACTCGGTCTGCAACTTACGCGGTTACCGTAATTTCCAGCCGATTACCCGCAAACAGTTGTTGGTGCGGGTTATAGGAAGGTGCGGGTAATACGATAATTTTTTAAAGCTTCCGGGATAGTTTTAAAACTTTAAGCAGGAAAAAAACAGAGATGATAGGATCCACTAAAGACACTCTTTAAAAAACCTGTACGATAACTCATTTTTTCGCGCAGACTGCTCATAATAATAAGAGACTTTTATGCTCTTGATGAAAGCCGATGCAAATCGAGAACATATCAGCAAGACTCGATGATAAAGCTTTTATCTTGTTTGTACTCTTACTTTCTTACCTTGTGAAGTTCTCAGCGTGTTTCTATGTTTATTTTAAAAAAGAGGTACATGTATGCTTCCGTGGAGTTCTTTCTTGACATGTTTTATTTTTGTTTCTGTTTCTTTTTTAGTTTGATGATCTGACCGAAGCTTACCTGTCGTTCGTTTCAAACAGACACCAGGAATTTTGCAAACAGAAAGAACGCCATGTGCGGGTGATAGGGCAAGATGCATTCGATTCCCTAGAATATTTTTACTCAAAAGTTCTTTGCGTATTCACGAAAGGCATTACGGGAGGTTGTCGTGTTATTGCGACTAAACCAGTTTTGTAGATCAAAGTTAATAGTTTCCTAATTAAAAAAGACGTTTGCGCATTAAGTAGTTTTAAAAAATATATTATAAAATAATTCAAATAGTACGCGCGCTCTGATTGGCCATAGAACCATTTTACATGAGCGTATGTAAACACGGTTTTCATAATGAATCTTCTCGCGGAGTTCTCCCTGCTATTAATTTAGCTGTAACTCAGTTTCTTTAAGTTTGTTTTGAGTACAGTAATGGAAGCAGAAGTTTTTCCTAATTTTTCTTTGGAGTTTAATTTTCCCAGTATTCAAGAAACGGCCGAAAAGCCAAATGAACAACAACAACAAGCACGTCGCTTTCCTTCGTTGCAAGAAGAGGATCTTTCTTTAGTTATTTTATAAAAGATAGGCCCGATATTATCTCGTGTTATCTCTTATCTCGTGTTCTCCCAACCTCCTGCGTTTTCACATCAGGCTATGTAAACACGGAAACCATTTTACATTTCTTCAGTGACAAACTAAGAAATATATAATATATATATATATAATAAAAAATATTCCATGTTGCCGAGTGTCTGTTCACGGATAGATCACAGAAGACACCAGTCATAGACGTCAAAGAGTGGCACACGAAGCGCAGCCATATTATGCGCGCATAGGAGAGTTTAGAGACTGGTACCGAGTGAAATAAACCGCTACTTCTCGTGCCAGTCCCTCGCGTTATTTTAGTTCGGCGCTTCTGGCTGAAACGAGCTTACTCGGAGCTTTAAACACAGACTCCACGCTAGCTGATCTGAGGTCTGTCTTTGTTCAGGCCTTAGAACAAAGCATATTGATTCAAAGTATAATCGAAGCTCTGGACAATCGTGTAAATAGGACAGTCTTTAGTGGACGGTGGACTCTGGGTAGAGATTGCCAGGGCCCATAACTTGGGAAAAATCTTGAAAGTCTAAAATAAATTCTGAAAACACTTTTGACAAATGAGAAGGACGATATACGTAGAATGCAACAAACAGCAAAAGTGCTAGAGCAACAGAAATAAAAATCTTAGCTACAGATTTGAAAAAGGATTGACGGAGCCATCGCCCAGAATGCCGCGACATATCCAGGACCTTTTGCGTAGCCAATAGCGCTAAATTTTCCTCCGCCATCACTCCTTAAGAGGCCTACCTGTCCCAGCGCGATTTATATTTCCCTGGTCAACCCTCGAACTGAACAAAGAAATTTCCCTACGTCTCTCTTGTCTTTCACATTAGTAACAGCGCGCTTAACTCAATACTGCCCTTCGAAAGGCTTTGAATCCGAGCACGAAGTCAGAATTCTATGGGATCTTTTTCGGCTTACGTAACTGAGGCAGTCTTGAGAAACTTATTACGGTGGCCAATCTTCATAATCAATGAATTAATGACACCAAATTAACTACATAACGGGCCTATCGTTAGCTCACCTCACTAAAGATCTTAATAACGCTTAACACGTACGTGTCACGTCAGTAACGCGAAACGGCCGAATTTCGCACAGAACCACACACGAACTTTAAGATGACAGGATGTAATACAGTCGAATTTCTCAGTGATTGAAAAAAGTCTTTTATTATTTCGTAGTCTATGCTTTGCTGATGTTAGCAGCCTTTTGTGATTTGACTACACTGATATTATTCTGAAAAGGAGAAACAACCGAACCAGACAAACACAAAAATTTGATCCTAAAGAGATGCCGAACGCTTGACAAAGAATTAAAAGTGATATGACATATTGGTACTATTTTTGAAAATCACGCAAATGCAATGGGCTTCGTTTGTTTACGAAATTTCTTTTCCTTTTCCCATCTGACTGATATTAGGTCATTTTTAAGAATCATTTCGAGGAAGTCGAGCGAAATTATGCCTAGAACTTCAATCAGATGAAAGGCAATTTTTCAAATCCGGTTGGGGGGTAATCCTTAAATCACTAGAGGTCAAAAACTAAATCCGAGATACAAAATTCACGTAATTCCGATAAAAGGACTAAGTCTTTATTTCGGATGGTTTCCATGGTCTTAAATAGCTTAGCACAGGTTAAAACTTTCGCTGATGCCGTTTAAAATCTCCCTGACCCTGGAACTGATGTAGATGCCTTCGTCTGTGTTTCTTAGGCATGAACAGTTTTCCAAATGTTTTTTGTCACAATAGAAGGCAGATGAAGGCGCAACCCTTTGAAAACCACACACCACCAGACAATTAACAAATGTGTAATATAATATACAACGATCCATCCCGGATAGAGAAATCATTCTTTCTCAAAGACTTCCTCTTTTTCAATCTGTCGAAAGGAAGATCGAGATGTAGGGTAAAAACGCCGTGGGAGTCTTCCCTGTGCGGTTGTTAAAGGCGAGAAATGGTGCAATCACAGCTTGTTGCATTATGATAAACTCATTAGCAAACATGACCAAAAGTGGTGTGCCCAAAATAGCTTCTAAACTGCCCTTGAAACAATAGACGCCATGTATTTACTTGTTCGGGTAACACGCGTTGCTGAAAAGTTAACATTTCAGGAATGTCGCTAAAGCAGGGTACAAAAAAAAACCGACCGTAGATGGAATAGTTCAGAGTTGTTAGTGGCCTGGTGATCTTAATCCTACAAAATGCACAGGTCATGAGAAATATTTATTTAACAAACAGGATTTCTGAGCGGCACACGCGCCGACCCAAGGACTTACTGTGCAAATGCCCCAGCTACAACTGTAAACACAGATTTAAAACGTTCCATTCAAAAATAAAACGCTTAATTATTTTAATTCGGAGGCAATATTTTCTTCCGAGTCGGACTAATCAGCCACTAAGTCACGTTAAAGACATAAAAAAGGAAATACATTTGTTGTTCAAATAAACATTCATTGGAAAATTTTTAGCACGGAACACTGTATCAGAACAGAACAGGAAAGTGGTTACTGTAAACGCAACAGCTGAAGATGATTGACAAATTTGGTGAGATAGCACCAAGTGAATGGTTTATCAGTTACCATATTTGGCAACCTTTCCGATTCACGACTATATTTAGGATCAATAACTTGAACATTGCGAGTTTGTAATTCATGCATCGATAAATGCATCAATGCTTATCACATGAAATTGTGCAAAGGCGTGCAATCACGGACGAAACTGCGAATTTTATTGCAAAAAAACACTATGGTATTTTTGTTTTAATGCTAAGATTTTTGGGGGAAAATGAAAATAGCTATTAAAACAAACATTTAAGAAGAAAAGAAAGTGAATTTCGTTATTCAACTTTGCTTGATTTCGAATACGAGTTATGAGTAGTTTATTTTGAGAATAACCGAAAAACAGTATATGACATGCAGGCCATTCAGTTGATTTTTCGGTAGTTTATTACCAATCAGCTAATTAATTGAGAGTTGAAAAGAGGGCGTTTTCTGAATGACAGGAAACTTCACCAACCTGCAAGCGCCATGACAGATGAACGATGAAACCTAACCTATCATTTTAAAACATCTCTTTTATTTCTGACATTGTCAATAACGGAGTCACCAGCAACGTCGTTTAAGAAGCAATTTCGGGGGGAAAATATGCAAATTATGGGAGATTTTCTCTACGTGAACCTTTTCGACCATCACAGATCAAGATGGAAAAAATATCAAGTCATTTTTCAAAGCTACATCGCAAGAGGCTGTCATCATTTGAGGTTTTTCCAGTCACGTAAAGCTAAATCATTTTATTCCTTTCGATTTCAAGGGGACCTTTCTATTCGAGAAAGACGTTCTTCGACAGTTACGCGATATTATCTGCATGCGGCTACCTGACAATGTTGCTTATTTAAAACATTTGGTTCAGTTTTGGGTAAGTATTTCATTGCAGTTAAAAATAGACAAGTGCGGACCCTTTACCACATGGGAGGGAAAATGACAGTCCTGAAGTATAAACAGTAATACTATACAATTACAGAACTCTAACCTGCCTAAGGGCTAAAAATGCCACCAAATGAAGACACCGAGTGAAAGGAGCCTGTGGCCTCTATGAGCGGTCAATTTATGTCAATAGTTACATTAGCTAGCCACACGGGGCAAATGTAAGTCAATTTTCAAATACATTGAATTGCTGGTCAAGGATCGTAAGCAAGATATGGTTCACCGTGCCAATTTGGCAAAATTACAAGCACTCCTCAGTCTGCGGTTGGTTTATGATGGAAAACAGTTCCGGGCCGAGGTACTGAGCTCGGTTCCGCTGAGTATTCACACACCAGTGCTAACACTTCCCTTGTTATTCCCCTTGAATTAACTTTGAATAATTCAGTGATGCTCTCTGATACCATTCGATAATTTTCCACCCAGCAAAGACCAAATGTATGTTAGTTTCCTTTGTTATTGAACTGAGCGTTGGACACCCCCCTCACCAAAGCAATTTTTCTCTCCTCCTTAATGTCCTATAACCCATACTCAAATTTTTGTTATTCATCATCGCTCGCTGACTTGATTTTCGTGGCCACCACCGAACAGAGGTAAAAGAACGAAGAGACAAAATATCTCCTTCGTCCTTAACCTATGTCACCCAAAGTAAATGTTTGTTTGCTTTATTAAATTTCTTTTTTTATTGTGCTAATTTTGTCAAAGACGAGCAATTGCCCAACTTTGAGAAGGTCATAAATCAAATTAGGCTAATTAATGAGAGACACGGTTCGTCGTATAGGTTTACCATGTTGAATGTTTTGCTCTGTGTACTATCTTGCGACCTCCTTAATAAATATAAGAAAATAAAGCACTTTTATGAGGGAGGGCAATTCTATTAATCTTGGCACTTGTTACATATCGTGAATCCTAATGTTTTCTTTGGAGGGAACTGAATAAATCAATGATTAATTGCTTCCTGGCTTCTGAAAACGGCGAAAACTATCTCTTTCATTGCGATTAAAATTGAAAATTTGTTATTGGAAAAGATAATGGTTATTTCAGGAAACAACAGGATTAATGATTTGATGTATAAGCTTTTCAGCCCGTAGAATAGATTTAAAGGGTTGTGTCGTAGAAAGGTGTAAATCTGTTAAGATCACTTCTTCTCCAAAGTTTAGTAATTTAAGAATGGAATCGTATGTGTAGCCGGGACAAAGTAAACCTCAGGCCCCTGGGAACGAGTTATATGATTTTGGGGGTACTAAATTTTGAAAATCTAGTGCCATTTGGCGCATTTTAGAACTTTTTTCAAGGAGAAGCTTTTTGCCATTTTCTGGTGATCCTAAAGCCAGTTTTTTCGCATGGTCACATAAAATATTCGCGACTAAACACATTATTGATAGTGTGTTTGTCTTTCTTTTCCCTTAACCCGCGGGGTTATGCCCCTAGGTATTCCTACGGGTATGAAACCAGGTCGATTCGATCTCGCCGCCGTTGTTTCTTCGCTTTACGCAAAACGTTCTATTTCTGTTCGTTGCGTGACACAGCGACCACAAAGGAACCCAGAAATATTCAGGATTGCAGGTGATTTATACTCTGACAAGAGGGCAATACAGCTCACGCAGAGCTGGCTCGACAGCGCTTTAACATCAAGTGTCGACAGACGTGAAGTCTTTAAACTAATCACCACTGGTTTCCGGTCATAGTGGTTCGTAAAAGAGATTAGCTGCTTAATCACTTCCCTGCACAGTACAGGATGATACAAGGAACGGACAGAAGTAGAAATACAGACTCGTAAACAGAATTCTCTTTCAGGGGGTCTCACAATGGCATTTTATTGACTCTTGAGACATACAATGCCTTGGTTATAAATCATCTATTGTCTCTGCCCAGAAAGGATGTCAAATCCACCTTGATTACCCCCTCTCCCTCCGAACCTCCCACCTCTGAATCGCGCCGTGAACCGAGCGATTTGCATTGCTCGTCCAAGCAGTGCCACCATGAACAAAGATGTATTAATAAAACCTTCCTTGCGTAAGAAAAGACCTGGATCGCATTAAATAGTTTCCGAAAAGGTTACGTAATACATGATAACATTAATCAAGAACACGATCACACATTCCTTTATATAGTAACATTTTTTTGTTTTCTGATACTTGCTCGTGGTTTGGATA